TCATTCATCCAATATCAACTCATATCTTCCCCCCTTCCCCTAGCTAAAAGTTTAGCCTAGAGAAGGGAGATTAAACATAATATCAAAACTAGAAATAAACTCAAGAAACTCAAAACAAAACATGACTAAAATCAATGAAATCAATAACAACTAGATGAACTAATAAGATCAACAAGAATAAGCAACAATGAAACAAATAGATAATACTAAAGGAAAGGAGAAGAGATTACTAAACAAAAGGATTAATGAAAGATGAAAACTTGGAGTCTTGCTTGATTGATTGAAGATTAAAACTTGAGCAAAGTTGAATACAATAAAGGATGCTTGAATAACAATCTATTTTCTCTCTCTAGATTAGGCTAATGTTCTATGGAATTAGTACTAAGTGTCCTTTATTACAAAGAGTCCCGTCTATATATATGTGGCTCCCCCAAAATAAAGAAACTTGGACAACAAGGCGCAAAGAAAGCGCCCACACACGACATATGCGCGCCCGCGCAGTAGATGTGTGCGCCCTCTCAGCATAGTGTGCGGCCGCAACTTTGAGGGTAAGGAGAAATCATGCGCGCTCGCGCAGCAGTTCACGCACCCGCACAGCAGGTCGCGCACCCGCACAGAAGTCGCACAATAGGTCGCGTAAACTCTCTGGTTTGGCTCTGTTTCTTCAGCCTGGCTGCGTGGGTTCTGACAGGGCTGCGCGCCCGCACAGCACCCCGCGCAGAACAATTTTCTTGGCTCCTTGAAATCCTCTTTCTTACGGCACAAAATACCTACAAAACAAAAGCATGGAAATCAAAATAAAAATAAGGCGAGAAGACTAAGAAAAGGGAAGATAAAGGAGAAACGAAAAGAGGAAGCAAAACTAGGTAAAAATGCTTAGAAAAAGGGTCAAACAAGTGCAAATGAGGGGAGAATCCTTAGAGAAAAAGGATAAAAGAGTGGCATAAATGCCACTCATCACCGGCCAACACACGCCCTTTACCTTCACTAATCGACCCCAACCGTCCACCGCATGCCCTTTAACTTCACTAATCGACCCCAACTGACCACCACACGGCTTCACCAGTCGACCACTGTAACACCCCAATAATTCTCTCTTAGAACCTGTAAATACCCTGAATAAAATCCAAGATAATTACTGGCGTGCTACCGCCACGTGTTCAAACGTTAAGGCTATATCAAATATTAGCAGCAGAAAAACTGAATCAGTTATAAATAAGTTTCAAAACCAACAAATAAAACCAAATTAAGTGATACAAGCTGGAACCATTAAGGCCCTTATTCAAAACCCAACAAAAGTAGTAAATAAATAAAACCAGAGTTTAAATAAATTCAAACTTATGAAAAGAGATAAACTGCGAATAATAACCAACTCTCCACTCAAAATCCCACCACCTTGATGCAAGTCCAAACTATATAAACACCTGTGATGAGTCTGCTCCCCAATATTACAAGTGTAAATATTGGATCATTACAGGGTCATTGAAAGGCGAAGGCCATGACCAAAGAAAGACACACAAAGCACGCAATCAACAAAGCTGAGTACATACAAGCTGCAAAACATAATAAGAAATCCCTAACATGCTACTAATAATCAATCATCATGCATCATTAAATTATAGACTCAACACACGACTCAATTATCAATTTTATTAAGACTTCAATAGTTAATAGTAGCAAACTCATTTTATTTAATTCTTTGGATTAAGCAATAGACAAGGTTGTCCAACCCATTCTCCATTTGGAACATCAATAAAGAAAACCCCATGCCTCCTTTCGGAAACATCAATAAACATCCAACGACCACGAGTGCGACTCCGTGACCATAGTTAGTATGAGATCTCACCTAACTCCTAGTTTTGAAAAATATTTGAAATAAGAGACTCGTAGATCAGACGGCCTCGAGAAAAGTACACGGCTAATACCCCGTGTACCCCAACCCCTGATTGTCATTACTCCAGAAGTGCACCAATCCAGAGTTTTATTGCTCATCCATCTTGCACTTTACGTGATTTACAGGTTTAGACTTGGTGATGACTCATATGCAAACAATACAATCAATCCAACATCAATTCAATCAAGTAAAACAACTTTCCAATTTCAATTCTTGATTTGTTAGTGACAAGCAACATTTATTATTTATTCCTTTAACTACCTCGGTGTATAAACACCAGTGCATAAGGCACCCCAAAACCTTAACCTCGTCTTATAAGACTTGAATTCTTCTGTTACTCATCCTATTTCAATAATCATGAATGAGTAATAAATAAATCATTCCCCATATTCACATACCTTTGCCTCTAAGCGCATCTTGCAAAGTTAATGCATACATAATACTTACAAGTTAAATTAATACACAATCCTCATACTTGAATCAAAACCAACGGTCACATCAAACATTAATCACAATTACTACCATACAATTTCAACCAATCCACAAGTTCCTAACATGATTCTAAGTTTTCCAAGTCCTTAAACATGCTCCTAAAGTCAAGGTTTTTGTATCCTTGTACGTACCTTGAGCAAACGAATTGGTATGCCACTTTACTAACTAGAAATCACCTTCAATAAACTCCTCTCCTAAACCAAATAATAACATCTTAATCAAAACCTAGTCAATTAAATTTACAGCAATACTAACTTACTTTAAAACCTTCAAAATCCAAATCAAACATCTCTTTAAAACCTTCCCTTTAGTTAAAATTAAAGGCTTATATATAGTTCTTTAAATTTTCTACATAAAAACCTTAAAATACACTCTTATACATGAAATTACAGCAAGTTTAAAGTTTAATACGAAGTAAAAATCTTAAAATTATTTAAAAACCCCTAATAATCTCCGTTTTTAATGGGTGATTAAACCCTCTTTATAAAACATCAAAAGTAATACTTAGAAACTATTTTCAGCACTTAAAACTTCAATAAAAATATATATTTATGCTTAATTAACTTTAAACATAATTAATTTTATTAATCAAACTCAAGGATAATATTTTAAGTATAAAAAACTTCGTTAAAATCAAAAACTGCCCGAAAATCATATTTAGAAGCTAAATTTGGCCACGAGAGGGTGGTGCTCACTACCAAAGCTAGTGAGTCTTTCTTAAAACGTTGTTTCCACATGGAAACCACTACTTTTTTTTTATCAAAATCGGATGAGTTCAGAACCTGATCGGGATTAAAATGGGATTAATATTAACGGACGGAAATCTAAAAATTAAAAAAAAAGAATTTACGTGTTCAAAATAATCTGGAATTAAGTTAAAATAATCAGTAGTTATAATCACCAAAATTTCAAAACATCATTACTATAAAATCCCTAAATCAATTGTTCATAAAAACCCTAAAATCATGATTTTCAATAATTAAAAACCCTAGATTATAAAATTTACAAAATCTGAAAATTATGACATTTATAAAATATGAAATTATAAAGTTTAAGAATCAAAATACAACTTGATACTAATTAAATTACTTTCAAACAATAAAATTAAAACCCATAAATCAATAATTATAATTACACAAATTAATAAAACAAAGGAGAAAGAAAATAAGACTAACCTTTTTGTGTGGGAAATTTTTGGGGATTCATGGGGTATTTATAGGAGAGAACGTTGTAGGGTAAATAGAAAGATGGGGCCTCATAAAATTAATAGGACAAATAAATGAAATGTACTAAGCTTTAGTTGTATTGAAATAAATTATAGAATGAAGGTTCATAAAATAATTTGTATTAAAATAATATTTGACCCAAATTAATAATTTGGATATTTTTACGGAAAATACAAAACAATATTATAAATAAAATTAAATTTCATTTATAACATATTTAAAAATACGGGGGATTACAACCACCAAACAATCTCTAGCATCACCAACCAACCGAGCACCACCATTCTACCGCGATAACATCACCAATACGAACGTATCTCTTTCCCTAAGGTTTTTGTATGGGCCTAATTTCTAGAAATTGCTACTAGGGTGTCTTTTGTTTGGCTGGCCGGTTGGCCACTTTAGATCTACGAAGTGGTCGATCTTGGGCATGGCCCATGGGAATTGAGGATAGAGGAGGATGTAGTGGCCATGGGAATAGAGGATAGTGAAGGAAAAATTGGTCATGTGATTAAGTGATCGAGATTCCCATTTTTTTAACAAAGAGAAAGCTCGTATAAAAACACTATGAATATTAGCAGAAAAATTCTTAAAAATTACGCGGCGTTTGGTTGGAGGGATGGAAATAAGAGGGATAAGAAGGGAGGATAAAGATAGGGGATTAATAGGTGGGACAAGGATAAATAATTTTTATCCTATGTTTGGTAAGTATGGGAAACAAATTAGGGATAAGTATTGAATTTATAAAAATACCCTTATTAACTTCTATCCTTTCTCCTTACCCTTTTAATTTCATTAAGGGTAATTTGGTCTTTTAAAACTCAATTCTTATCCTTTCCCCTTATACACCCCCCTTAGTTATAGAAATGGAGGGATAAGTGAGTATTTTAATCCCCTATCTCTAACCCTATTCTAATCCCCTATCTCTAACCCTATTCTAATCCCCATCACTCCAAACAAACACTAGAGTTCTTCTATTCCTATTTTTATCTTTATCCCACCCCTTCTATCCCCCTAAACAAACACTCTCTTAGGGCATTATAATGTCTGTAGTATGGACTATGTGGAGTGTGTTGTTTTCAAAATTTGAAATTTTGATTATGTTTTCCCATACGCTACTCTCAATCTCTCGTCAAGAACAACCACCCTTAACTCCCTGAGTCCTACTAACATTGTCCTTTGACTCGATCTATGTTCTATATACCTATATTTCTCCGCCAACAAGATTCCCCGACAACAGTCTACTCTTCTTTCATTCCAAAAACAAAAATGCGAAATTCAGTGGCGAAACTCCCAGCTCGCCGCCTAAAACTCCTCCTCATACTCCTCTTCACAACCTCCACATTCTACCTCCTTAACCGTCACCACATCCTTCTTAACCTCCACTGCCCATCTCCTCCCACCCCAACCTCCGACCTCTTCCTCCACACCTCCCCTCTTCCACCACCCCACCACCCTCCACAACTCTCCGGCACCTCTTCTTCTCCGTCGCATCCTCCGCCTCCTCCTTCTCTCGCCGCCTCCCCTTCCTCTCCCTCTGGTACTCCCCCAACACCACCCGCGCCCTCCTATTTCTCGACAAACCTCCTCTCTCTCCTCCCCCTCTCCCCTTCTTCGTCTCCTCCGACACCTCCCGGTTCCCCTACTCCTTCCCCCGCGGTCATCGCTCTGCTATTCGTGTCGCTCGAATTGTTAACGAAGTCTTTGATCGCGGCGAAACTGATGTCAGGTGGTTTGTGTTTGGGGATGATGACACTGTATTTGTTCCTGAGAATTTGGTGGGTGTTCTGTCGAAGTATGATCATGAGAAGTGGTATTATATTGGGTGTAATTCCGAGAGTTCGGAGCAGAATTTGAGGATGACTTTTGGGATGGCTTATGGCGGGGGTGGGTTTGCTATTAGCTCTCCTTTAGCTAGGGCTTTGAGTAGGGTTTTGGATTCTTGTTTGATGCGTTACCCCCATTTGTATGGAAGTGATCATCGGATTTCCTCTTGTATTTTCGAGCTTGGTATCGAGTTAACTCGAGAACCCGGGTTTCATCAGGTATGATTAAGATTTATGGTATCTTTTATATTATGATTACAATGTGAATAGCTTTGGAATTGTCGAAATTCAGTGTTTTTAATTTGAATTGCTTTGATTAGGAGCTGATTGTTCTTAGTAGCCTAGTACTAGTATTTTGTTCTGTGTTCTTATGAGCTGCTCATTACAATGTGCTTGGGTTTAGCTTGTTTTCGGAACGTTGGAATTTCGTGTATTGTTCTTTGAATTGCCATGATTGCAGACCTATTTTTCATATTCGTACTTAGCTAGTTCTAATATTTTGTTCAAAATTAATGTTCTTGTAATCTTTATTATGTATTTTGTAAAAGGAAATAACTGTTTAGTTGATATTGTTTAGGACAATAAAATTTATTCCATTTATAACTTCCTAGTGAAGCTTTAACAGATTTTGTAAAATAAGCTCTATAACTACTATGCATTATGTAATGTATTAATGAAGTCACTTCTTTTAATTAATTAAATTTTTACTTCAAGTTCCTAAGAGGTGGGGTTAGTGTTCTATTGTTCTTAGCCTGTTTTTGAAATCTAATCTTGGATTTTTCTTAGTATTTGTTAGTTGGATACATATCCTTTGTCTTTTCTTTCCATAAAAGTATTTCATTAGTGTAGGGTGCGATCATTCCTTCCAAAATTGATGCACACTTAGGAGTGGTCTTTCTTGTCATCTATATCATTTCTTTTCCCCTGTATGAAAAAGAGTCTGTGCTGTCCATGATCGGGTCCTTGCTTCCAAATGCACCTGTTCTTCTCCTTCTCCTTCTGCCCTCAAAGGTTAATAAAACAAGCTAAAAAGGCATTGTAATGTGAAATAGAATTTTAGTTAGTTGTTTTTTGTTATTGATTTCTAGGCCTGTTTTGCTGAATTTCACTATTCTATAATTCATCTATTTATTCCCAATTTGAATTACTCCTAGGGATGAAGTGATGCTATTCACAAAGAATAGGTTAGAAGAATTTGAAATATACCTCTTACTTCTTCTGTATCTATTTACTTGACCAACATTCCTAGAATAGAAATGTCATTTTACTTGACCATACTATATTTGGTAAGCTTTTGGTGGATAAATTCTCTAAATTACCCTCATAAAGTGCACATGAGAATAACTTTTGGGGTAATAAGGTAAGGCATGTGCAGCAAGGGTCACAAACTACAATTTCTCTCTCCTCTCTTTAAATACTCTGACAAAGGCTATGGGTCAAGTAAATAAAAATTGAGGAAGTAGATGATTTATGACTTCAAATGGGATTGTTAGTAATTTACTTATATATACTAAATAATTGTTGGCATGTGGTCATATGCGTGATTCTGATGAGTATGAAATGGATGTTACATAATTGAAAGATTGAATTATCACTTTGTGAACTCATCATGTATCCATGATTTCTGTTGGTACTCTCTAACCACAGACCACCTGGCCTTCTATCATGACTCATGAGTGATAGCTGTTAGCTATTTTCTGTACACAGTTAGACAGAGCAGTAGCATATGAACTTAATTATCCCCTTTATACTACCCAAAGCACAACTAATCTGGACTTAAGTATCTCATAGAAGGCCTATTTTATTTTTTATTTATCTATATCTATTTAAATGAAATTGCTTCATTGATCTAAGGCTCTAAGCTATGAGCAATCTAGAGAATGCTTAGGGTATGAACATAAATGGAGCATTATCCCATTATCTTGCCGCAGTTACTATCCCATATAATGTTGTTGATTACAATGTGAATAGCTTTGGAAATGTCAAAATTCGGTGTTTTTAATTTGACTTGCCTTGATTAGGAGCTGATTGTTCTTAGTAGCCAAGTATTAGTATTTTGTTCTGTGTTCTTGTTAGCTGCTGGTTACAATGTGCTTGAGTTTGGCTTGTTTTCGGAATGTTGGAATTTCGTGTATTGTTCTTTGAATTGCCATGATTGAGGACCTATTTATCATATTCGTACTTAGCTAGTTCTAATATTTTGTTTAAAATTAATGATCTTGTAATCTTTATTATGTTATTTTAAAAGGAAATAACTGTTTAGTTGATATTGTTTAGGATAATAAAATGTATTCCATTTATAACTTCCTAGTGAAGCTTAAACAGTTTTTGTAAAATAAGCTCTATAACTACTATGCATTATGTAATGTATTAATGAAGTCACTTCTTTTAATTAATTAAATTTTTTACTTCAAGTTCCTAAGAGGTGGGGTTAGTGTTCTATTGTTCTTAGCCTGTTTTTGAAATCTAATCTTGGATTTTGCTTAGTACTTGTTTGTGTATGTTTTTCATTATAGCATAGAAATGCAGATTACAGTAACACAATTATGAAGCAGAGAGATATTACCTCTTAATTTGGTTATGCTATTTATTTGAACCAATTGACATTAGATGCTTGTGGTCAGTATTGCTGTATATAAATTTTGACTGCCTTATGTCATTCACTTTTGAGCGGATTTTTTGTTTTCATTATTCTTATAGTTATATCTGGATAACGAGTTGAATGATTGAATGTTCTTCATTATACTTGTCAGCTTGATGTCAGAGGAGACTTGTTTGGTTTGCTTACTGCTCATCCTTTGTCACCTTTAATATCTCTTCATCATTTGGAGATTGTGGAGCCTATTTTTCCTCGCAAGAATCGGACAGAGGCAGTACAGCACCTTTTTAAGGCTGTGCGTGCTGATCCTGGTAGGATATTGCAGCAAACAGTTTGCTATGATCACTCAAGTAATTTGACTGTTTCAGTTGCTTGGGGCTATGCTGTTCAAGTATTTGAAGGCCATCTACTTCTCCCGGATATTCTTGCTGCACAGAGGTCTTTTACGCCTTGGAGAAGGCGTGGCATCAATATACCAAGCCAATATGTGTTTGACACGAGGGACTATCCTCAGGATCCATGTAAAAGACCTGTGGTCTTCTTTTTGGAAGATGTTGCTTCCGGGACAGGAAGAATCTGGAGCAAATATAGGCGGAATAATTCTCATAGCTGCTCTAGACCTGATGCTATTGAGAACCTAAAAGATGTAAAAGTGTTTTCCAAAAAGCTACAGCACAATGCTGGACTGGTAATACTTTCTGTCTTGCATAGGGAAAAATTTCAATTTTTTGGTACCTTATGTTGAGGCTCTATCTGTTGTTCAACTGTTCTTAAACTTTGTGATTTTTGTCTTTGCTTTCTTAAACTACAGACTTGTCTTATTTCAGGCGATGGTACTGCGTCGTGATTGCTGTGACATAATACACCCGGTTAAGAAATCAATGGTCATTGACATCAGGCATTGTGGCATTAATGAGTTGATTGCCATGAATCCTTAGCACCAAGAGCTCTGATGTCTAGATTGTTCCTTGTTTGAAGTTCTGGTGGTGAAAATCATGTATAGCTGCTTTATGAAACACTGTTTGATTGCATCATCAAGGTATTTTCTTTTCTTGTCCTTTTACTGTCATGCATTCATGTGTCAGTTACTCAGTTGTCATAGTTTTGTCTTCATTGTATGATGCTTGCCATTTTTCTTAATTCAATTAAATTACGTCCATTTTTTCTATGCTGTGGGTTTATTTTTTAAATTGATGCAACCAAACTAAACTTTTCATGTTGATTTTGAGAGAAAACAGTTTTGCATTTATTAGTGCTTTTGAGTGTTAATTTGAGCATTAAATTATAAAAGTATGATATTGATAGTTGATTATACTAAAAATGATTCATTCCTGAATTTTAAAATTCTAAAGTCTCACTCTTGTAACTTTGTATATATGCTTCAATACAGAGTTGTAGCATACACTTCTATTTTTGAACAGATATAAGATTTCTTGCACGAAATAGTCTTTTAATAGGTTTTGAATGAACAATATCTTTAAGTAAAAAATTTATTAAATGCTAAAAATATTTTATCATTAAAGTAATATGAGTTCTTAGATTTACCCTGAGATCTTGACGTTTTAGTCTTGTTGTTGTGTTTTTTTCCAAAAGATCCAACAAGTATTAAGATCTAACAGTTAAGCTTTGATATATCATCAAATACGGCCTCCACTCAGCAAAGAATGACGACCTTTACCATTATTTCCTTTTTGGCCGATCATTGGTTGGTTTTCTAATGCAGCGAGGTGTAAAGGAGAAGGAAAGTATGCTTTTTTTAGTGAGAGAGGGGGTTAACCGTAAAAGCTTATAATGGATGATTTACTAGACAGATAGATATGATGAGATGAAAGATGGATAACCCTTGGATAAGGTAGGAGACTAGCAGCTTTTATTCTTTTTATTTTATCTTCTCACTTTTTCTTCTAGACCCCCCTTACGTGGCTCCGTCATCCTCACAGGTTAAAATTTTAACAGGGGTAGTCGGCCAGTTTCTTCTCAAGGATTGCAGGATACAAATGAGGAATATTCACGCTAATGTCCATTATATGCCTGAGCTTTTTTATAAGATCATTTAAATATCAGAGAATAATATTCCGTATTAGACCTGAATCTCCACCTGTCCATTTTTGAGGTATTACCCCCAAGTTTCCTACATTTACTATTTTACCATTAATGTGGGCTAACAGGAATCTTTAGATTTTAAGAACTCCGTTTTTGCTGTTTACATTTGGAACCCAGCCAGGCAGCCACTGTCATAAAGCTTATTTGTACTGATTAAGACTTATTTAACCTATGAATACCAAAGATTATTTTTTAACTTGAAGTAAACATGGCCGAAACCTAACAAAGGTGTTTCTCGCCTTGTTGGGAGCAATACTGAGTTCTGCAACGCCTGTTCATGTTTTAGAAGAAAGACCTTTGACCCTCTTATTGAATTTGTATCTTTCTTGAAACTAGTTCCTGTCTTTTCCGTGATAAACCGATTCCGTTTGCCAAATTTGATCTCCTGTATTTCATTTTTAGGATGTTGAAGGGGTTTGTTGCACTCTTATGTTTGCTAATATGTTAATTTTATTTGCTATTGTTATCTGCCTTTGTTGATTGCTGTTTTTCTTCCTGCAGGTTTGCACCTTTTGTCCTGCTCATCTCGGATTCCAACCATTGGCCCAAATGGAGGTGGTGTTGGTGCCAAATGTTGGCTCCGTTTACATAATAAGTGATTCTGCCACCTGCTGTTATGGTGTATAATAGGAGCTGAAGCCTTCATAACCTATTTTAGAAGTCTGCAACACGGCACTGATATAGGAATTTCAGATTTTAATTTTTTTAATTTTTTTCATGTACTCACTTAGTCACTTGTATGTCTTTTGTTGAAGGTAATTACTAGTAGAGTAGTAGGAGATGGGTTCATGCCATTAGACTGAAAGTGTCTCCTTATTTATAAACGAAATTCAACATGTATATTTGATGCGGTTCCAAGGCATCAATATTGTTATTATAATTATTTTTATTGTTATTTTTAGTTTATTATTAGATGACCGAATTTATTAGGATATTTTTGTTAGTTTAATTCGGTTAGTATAAGATAAGCTTAACTTTAAAGATCATATTTGCAAAATATTATCTTTACAAGTTAGAGTTAGTTTCCTAGTTAGATTAGAATTTGTTTTACCGATTTTTAGGCTAATTATTTAGCTTATAAATACGTGATGGTGTTTAACGAAAAGTACGATTGATTGATTTGAAATTTATAAAGTTTTACGTAAGCTTGTGCTTGTGTATTCTTGGCCTAGTTTAGGTTTTAAGCTCGTGTTGCTTAGCGTTTCTTGACCGAGACTCAAGATTCCAAACCTTTCAACTGCGATTGAAGGTTATATCCATCAAAATTCATATCAATATTGTTATTAACAGTCGTCCTTGTCTTGCTAAACAATCATTTATTCTGTTAATATTTTCCCAAATCCGTTTATGATGTAGATACATTGTGATCACCATTACAATGGTTTGTAGTTTTATAAGATGAATGATTTTATGCTATGAGATCACTTGGAATAATGAGCGTGTTCCGTGTAGCGTGCATATTTATTTCTCATAGTATGTTGTGCAATCTAATTGAAATCCTTTTGTTTTAAGGTATAAAATATGTTTTAGGAGATGCTAGATTGTTTAACTAGAGTACTCTCTGAGTTATTGAGTTATTGTATCTCACCTATAACTGAGCTAAAATAGATATTAGGAATTTTTGTGCATTTTTTAAGCTTCACCAATAGCTTCGTGAGGCGAGCTTCAAAATAAGCCCAACATATAGATGATATCATAAAACAAATAGAAGTACATCATCTAGTCTTTAGATGATATTATTTAGGCAATGGATAATATCATAAACACAATAGCTAATATCATCCACTTTATAAATGATACCATAGAACCAATATAGGATATTATCCGGCCTATTGATAATATCATCCCAGCAATGGATGATATCATCCAGTATATAAACAATATCCTATAACAATAGAGGATATCATCTACACAATGGCAGATGATATCATAAATACAATAGATGATATCATTCAACTTATAGAAGATATTATAAAAACAAGAAAAATTAACATCAAAGGTCCCAACTATGGATGGTCTTCTCTATAACGTCTCATCTTTTGAATAACTCAGGGTTATCCCAACTATGTTAGTCATTAAGGCTTAATTATGCCACGTGGTAGCATTTTATTGGTTTTTTTTATTAAATTATTTAATTTTTTTTAAAAAAAAATGATTATTTATCAAAAAAAAAAAAAAAAAAAAACCACCACCAAATCCCAGCCCCAGCCACCACCCTTCCCCGCCACCAACCCCGCCGCACGGGGTTCCGCTTGAACCCTTGCACTGGCGTGGATTTCACCTAAACCCCTACATCGGCGCCACCCTAACCCCGACACCTCACGCTCCGACGTTGTAACACCCCCAAAATTCGAGTCTTTTTAAAACAATAAGAGTAACCTTTTAAACTTTCAAATCCAACCATCTAATCTTGAGAGTGTTACTGTGCTAAAATATAATGAATAATATTCTCTGTGATTCACCTTCAACACAAACGGCCACATACAATTATATATAGGCAAGGATACTTGGAGGGCAAGACCAAATAACCTAAAGATATTCACAATATATTCTAAGATATATTTCCCAAGATTCACAATATTTATCTTTCCTGATACCCCCCCCCCCCCCCCAAGTTGGAGAGTACGGATATCGGACACCCAACTTGCAAAGTAGAAACTCGAATTTAGCTTTTCCCAAAGCTTTGGTAGAAATGTCAGCCAACTGAACTGTCGTAGGAACATACGAAAGTATAATCGTCCCATCTGTAATTGCATCCCGAACAAAATGACAATCTGACTTAATATGTTTTGTTTGTTCATGAAACACTGGATTCTGCGCAATGTATAAAGCAGACTAACTATCACAATAAAGGTGCATCCCATTCTCATGTTTAACACCTAAGTCACCTAATAGTCTCTTCAACCACTTTAATTCACAAGTTGTTGCATTCATACAACGATATTCTGCCAATGATGACAGAGCCATAGTAGGTTGCTTCTTGGTTTTCCATGACACTGGAGACAAACCAAGAAGCACAAACCAACCACTCAAGGACCGTCTGGAGAGAGGACAACCTGCCCAATTTGAATCACACAAACCTTCCACCTGTAAAGCACTATCAGATCTCAATAAAATTCCCTGTCGCGGACTCTTCTTCAAATATCTAACAACTCGCAGAGCTGCTTCCTAATGGTCAACCCTGGGATTTTGCATAAACTGTGATAAAATGTATACAGAATATGCTAAATCGAGTCGCGTAACTGACAAATAAATCAGTCTGTCTATAAGACGACGACATTTCTCAATATCGTGAAAAAACTCTCCCTAAGAAAGAGCTAACTTGTGATTTTGTTCCATAGGGAACTCTACAGGTTTAGCATCAAGTAAACCAGCTTCAGTAATAATATCCAATGAATACTTCCTCTGTCACATAAAAATTCCCTATTTATTTCGGGTTACCTCTAGCCCCAAAAAATATTTCAACACTCTAAGATCTTTCATCTTGAAACAATCTCCCAGATATGATTTAAAATTGAGCATAGCATTTTTATCATTGCCTGCAACAATTAAATCATCGACATACACCAACACATTAAGCTGTATTTTACCCTTTGTCAGAGTAAATAAAGAATAATCATATTATAACTGTTTAAAGCCATAATTTTTCAAAGCTGTAGCAAGCCTAGCAAACCAGCATCGAGGAGCTTGTTTAAGCCCGTATAACGATTTCTTCATCCTGCAAACTTTGTCAGAATTATATTTATCAAAACCAGGGGGAATTTTCATATATACCTCTTATTCCAAATCACCATGGAGAAACGCATTATGAACGTCCATTTGATGGACTTCCCAATTTTTCACCGCCGCTACTACAAGAAAGGTTCGAACTGTCACCATTTTTGCTACTGGAGCAAACGTCTCATTGTACTCTAGACCTTCAACTTGATGATGACAAAAAATGACTAGCCTCGCCTTTAATCTCTGCAAGTTCCCATGCTCATCATATTTTTCTTTGTACACCCACTTGCTCTCGAGTGCCCTTTTACTAGGTGGTAATTTTTCTAGCACCCAAGTACCATATTCTTCAAGTGCCTGTATCTCATCTGCCATTGCTTTTCTTTAACCCTCATGTTTCATGGCCTCCCTGAAACTTTTGGGTTCATTTCCTCCTGTAATAGCAGCAATATATTTTCTATGTTTCACAGAAAATCGGTGAGAATCAACAAAATGTGTTATAGGATAAACAGTACCTGAGGTCGGCAATGTCGCAGATGAACGCTGAGTGGTAGAGATAGATGGACTTTTATTTCGAATGGTATGCGTCACAAAATCCCGAAACTTGACTGATGGGAACTTTGTTCTCAAGCCTTTACCTAAGGCTTCCTCTCCGCAAACATGATCGGCTGTAGTCGGATCATTCACCCCTGACGAGGCACGCTGCTCAATAGGAGATTGAATTTCTCCCCTTGCGTGCCTCTGTCTTCACTTGCCAGATCAGCCCCGCCAGCACCAGCAGTAGGCTGGGCGTGCTGATCAGCGTCCCTGGCAGGAAGGTCCGCAGGCTGGCTGCGGTGTGTTCCGGTCGCGACACCTTCTGCCAGCTCCCCTTCTCCCCCTTCTTCTTCTCCCACGCATACTCCTCCCTCACACATACTCCAATCATCATCACTCCCCCCCTCATTCTTACAAGGGTTGTAAATAGGCACCGAATGTGGAGTATTTGTTGGCGTAACATATGGAAATTCGTGCTCAAAGAACTTCACATCCCTCGACACAAAGAACTCTCTAGTCTCCAAGTCATAAACTCTCCACCCCTTCTTCCCAAATGGATACCCAAGAAATACACATCATCAACTCCGGCTAGCAAATTTGTCACCCTTACTTCTCTGATTGTAAGCATAACATAAGCACCTAAACACCCGAATATACTCATATGAAGGTTGTTTGTCAAATAAAATATCACAAGGGGTTTTATAATCTAGAAAACGAGATGGTGTTATATTAATCAAATGACAAGCAGCTTAGACACACTCACCCCAAAATTTGAGAGGCAAATTTGCTTGAAACCGCAAGGCTCTAGCAACATTCAAGATATGTTGATGTTTTCTCTCAACACGCCCATTTTATTGGGGCGTGCCTACACATGAGGTCTCAAAATAAATTCCATTATCAAAAAATACTCCTTAAAAGAATTAAACTTCGTACCATTATCACTACGAACAACTTTAATTTCTTGAGAAAATTGACGTTTCACAATAACCACAAAATTATAAAACATGTACTCAACTTCCGTTTTATTCCTTATTAAATAAGTCCACACACCCCTAGAATAATGAGCACCACACGGCGATGGAGTCTTATAAGGACCCCACAAATCTAAATGTACCAGTTCAAAAATCCGACTAGCCTTATTTTGACTCAAAGGAAAACTACTCCTATGTTGTTTTGCCCGAGGACACACATCACATGATTTAAATTTATGACTACTACGACTCACAAATGGAAGTTGTTGTAGTACTTTTGCCGAAGGATGCCCCAAACGTTTATGCCACAACTCTGTCGAATGATCCCCATCTATCTTCAAAGTCTTCACCGTAGGAACACCCCGGAAATAATAAAGTCCATCTACTCGTTCACCTGCTCCAATCACCTTCCTCGTCGTTAGGTTCTGTATAACACAAAGTTTGTTAGTAAATTGCATGACACAATTTGAGTCATCACATAATTGAGTCGCCGAAATTAAATTGCAATTCAATTGCGGTACATAAAGAACATTGTCAATAGTCAAGCCCCCTTGCATAATCACCGAGCCAACTTTGTTAGCATTGGCATATTTTCCATCCGGCACTCCCACCGGACAATTTTGAACAGCAGAAACATTCGTCAACAAAGGATAACTCGCAAGTGACATGATTTGATGCTCCGGTGTCAATAATCCAACCCGGATCATGCTTACCATTAGTCTTGGATTTAAGACTATTTAGATGACTAAGAAGCTGCTGGTATTGATCCGAAGAAAGACCAACAAGAGTGTCAACCATCACAATCACAATATAATGGTTCCACACTATCTCAAAGAAACCTTACTGTCAATAAAAACTCAAATCCCCACAATTGGAATTTGTATTCCCACAATCTCAATCACCACTCCTAATGTTTATAAGTGTGAGCTCTCACAATTATAAAAATTATCACTCAAATATATGATCCCACAAACAGTAGGATGCCACAAAATAATCCCACAATGGATCCGAACCACTGTTTCGATCTAAAAAAAATTAATTTA